GGGGGGGGGGGGGTAGAATATTACTCGTAGCCACTTCATGCTACGGAAACCAGAGTTGAGCACTAGCCCAATGGGCCACATGGCTTGTAAGTAGGCTTACCTGCTTACCTTAGTTAAAACAAGCCAAAAATGCTGCATGCATTGTAACATTATTCACTGTTTGTTTTAAAGGCTACAGTACCGTAAAAACAAAAGACAGAGGAATCACTGAGACAGCCCCTCAAGTAGTTGTGAAAGGAGTTGGGTGAGTGAGAGTTTCATTGTTTGTTCATTTACTGTCCATCCATCAATCCATTATTTTGCTCAGAGGAAATGGCTCATGTTTGAAACCTCGGCTTTTCAAACTTTGTGACAGCTAGCAGATATCCACCTGGATCAGCCTGTATTTGGCAATGATATATATGTACAGCAAGTGTTTCACTTGCTTGTCAAAGCAACAGAAAAGTTTCTTCTTTTATAGCCTTAAATGCCTTAACTTTTTCCATCTAGTTTTCTGTTGGTCTGTCTAAGGCTTATGCCTCTGTTTCTCTACCATGTATCAGTTGGTATAATGTATCAATTTCTTTGTCTGTCTGACTGATTCTTCCTTTCTCCATAAGCAGCATCTATTTTGATTTTAAAAAATCATATTTTGCGCCAGAGTCAGCATGAAAAACACCAAGTATCACTGGGATTTTGATGTCCAGCATGAATTTTGTTTTTAGTCATTGCTATTAAACTATTAATTTTTTATGTATTACCTATTGTAGATTTGATCGTACTCTGGGAGGTCATGCCATGGAAATGTTAATGAGAGATCATCTCATTAAACTGTTCAAGGTATTTTACTGTAAATGTACTGTGCTGTGTGGAAAGTAACATATCAGTTAAGCAATTGAAATTATAAATGGAGATAAAATATCAAAGCATTTGTCTCAGTTTATTCAATTAGGTGACTTAATCAGAATCTCCCTATCTTGCTGTCTTCATTTTCTAGAAAAAAAACCAGACCTTTTCATTTCTGTTTTGATGAGGAAATAAAACTGCTAAATAGTAAAAAAAAAAAAAAAAAGCCACCTGAACAATAAAAAGTTTATGCACTATAAAATCTTGCTTGTTGGCTTTATCTGCTCAGGAAAATGAGAGATGCATTCTGTGGAATTTACAGTTAAATGTTTTTGACTGTGTGAAAAATTTGTTTTAACTCTGAAACATGAAGGCGTGCTATATAAGGAAGTCTTCCCTGGGAAGACTTAGGCTCATTTGTCGCTCACCCTTGACGTATGCGGGTCAAATTTAAATGCTCGGCTGGTAGACGAACAAAAGGAGCTAATGAGATATCTATTGTTTACTTCCACCAGCACGGTGGCATGAGGTAATGTGCGAACCACCGACTTCTATCTCAAATTTACCGCCACAAATAAAGACAGTTTCCATTGGAGAAAGGAAATACAAATCTCAAAAATTCTTGTATTGTAATGAAGACATAAAACAATTTTGAGGAATGCGCCCGCTCTTCACTGCTTTGGAGTAGCTGTAGCTCAAGCTGACTTGACTCTAAGAGTTCTACATCACACGACGGTTGATTGACAAATGGTCCAGTGGGACAGAAGGCTCCTTTTATAGCGTGCCTTCGTGTTTAACCCGCAAGGTTGACCAGCATCTAGTTTCTCCTTACAATATCACGCCAGAATCAAACGTTAAGGTCAGAAGAATGGAGGAAATGATCACCAACTTAAAATATGCTCTCTATTGTTAAACAAATTCTTCTTGTCGGCACCTTAGGAAATATATTATAAAGAACAGCAGGGGGAATATGCTTACTGGTGTGAGGCTGCAAAGGGTTTGAGCTTTACGTTTGAGTGATTAAAATCCTCTGGGGTTTGTTATTCCAGGAGCAACACAAGACACAGGGGGATGTGACGCAGTCTCCTCGTGCCATGGCGAAATTTCTGAAGGAGGCAGCAAGAGTGAAACAAGTTCTAAGTGCGAACACAGAGATCTATGCACAGGTCAGTATGAGTTTGCTTAATAACGATCATTATGGATGGAATTGCTGGCTTATTGGTGGTGGCTGATTCACTCCCTGATTGACAGACTAACTGCCTGATGTAGTATCTGATTGGCCAACGTGGCTAGTTGGCTGTCTGACAGACATACACATAGACTAAGTGGCTGGTTGGGATACACTGACAGACTTCTTGTCTAACTGGGTGACTGTCTGACTGACTGACAGGCATACTAACTGACTGACTGACATACTGTTCAACTGTTTGCGACTGAGACATTTGCCTGATGGATGGACTGACAGACAGACAGACAGACAGACAGACAGAAATGGCACATACTGTTTGTGGTTTGTCTTTACAGACAGGGAGGCAGACAGGTAAACAGATAAACAGACTGACAGACAAACAACACAGGCCGCAGCAGACACACAATAAAACATAGAGATAGAGAGACGGGTAGATGGACAGAACGAGATAAACAGACAAAAAGACAGAGAAACAGGCAGACATAAAGACTCAGACAGGCAGACGTAAAGACTCAGACAGGCAGACATAAAGACAGAGAAACAGGCAGACATAAAGACAGAGAAACAGGCAGACATAAAGACAGAGAAACAGGCAGACATAAAGACAGAGAAACAGGCAGACATAAAGACAGAGAAACAGGCAGACATAAAGACAGAGAAACAGGCAGACATAAAGACAGAGAAACAGGCAGACATAAAGACAGAGAAACAGGCAGACATAAAGACAGAGAAACAGGCAGACATAAAGACAGAGAAACAGGCAGACATAAAGGCAGAGAAACAGACAGACATAAAGACTCAGACAGGCAGACAGGAAGACTCGGACAGGCAGACATAAAGACTCGGACAGGCAGACATAAAGACTCGAACAGGCAGACAAGCACGCTGACAGACAGAACTGACGCCACTCGGTCTTGAAAGATTTACTAAATGCCGAATCAAGTTGTTACCATGTTTAAAAAAAAAATAATAATAAAAATAAAAAACTCATGCAAATGCACTGATTACTTGTTCTTGTAGATTGAGGGTGCATTTGAGGAGAAGGATTTTCGTGCCAAGGTTACACGTGAAGAGTTCGAAGAAATGTGCAGCGGCCTATTGAAAAGAGTCTCGGGTCCCGTCGAACAGGCTCTGAAATCTTCAGCCATTCCATTGGTGAGAGAAAAATACAGTATTAGTAGTTCTGTCATCTCTCTGTATTGACGTCTTTTTTGTGACGTGTTAAATTGATCTTCTGTTTAACAAGATGAAGTTGTTGTTGGTGTTTTTTTTTTTTTACATGAAGGAACTGCAAATATTGTTTATCTTTGCAGGATGAGATTGAAAGTGTGATCCTCGTGGGAGGAGGAACTCGTGTACCGAAAGTGCAAGAACTACTTTTGAAAGCTGTAAAAAAGTGAGTTTCAGTTCACCATCTTCAACAAGTAAACTGGCACTCATACCGAGCGGCCCACACCACTGAAGGCTTTTCTGATTTCTATGGCATGAAGTGCTGAAAATTACTTATACTACCCTTGGAAGGGGTGCTACTCCCTTTGACTTACCCTCCCCCCTCCCCTTCACTCCCACCGTAGGATTTCAGGATCAGTTTACCAGTAGCCATATATATTTCTGGATGGAGAGAGAGGAACTGTCAAATTGAGGTGCTTTCCCAATAACCCGATAGAAACTCTTTCAATAGCCCTTTGCCTCCTACTTCTGTTGGCAGAAGTGGAGGTGGTAGAAGCTCTTGAACCCTCCCAGTCTGCGCTCGACGCTTGGAAAAAGAGAAAAAAAATCATCCTTCTTTAGCTGGACTTGTGAGCAAATCTTACAAGACACTGAGCCTAACCAGAACTGAAATGGAGGCCCTTCAGTTTTGTCGCTCATCAGATATCAACAATTTCGATTGATGTTTTTGGTATATTTTTTTTTATAATTTCAGATCAGAACTTGGAAAGAATGTGAACACGGATGAGGCTGCTGCATTAGGTAGAAAAATTGTAGTTTTGAGTATTTGAACTTGTTGTTCCGCCAAAAGAAAAAAAATGAAGCGGGTCCGTCTCAACTCTTTAATTACCTAAGAGTGTCAAAGAAAGAAATTTCTCACCATGGTACCACCCTTGAATACAAATTTTCCTTGTCAGTAACATGGGAACTGTAAAGAGAGCAGTACAGAAAATCTGTATATCGATATTAGGGTATTTGTTCATTTGATTTTGATGTTGATGGTCGGTTGTTAAAATTTTCGTTGAATTTTTTTTCACAAATGCAGGCGCTGTTTATCAAGCTGCCAATCTTGGCAAGGGATTCAAAGTGAAGAAGTTTCTTGTGAAAGAAGCTAATATCTACCCAGTACAGGTTTGTATGATGTTTGTTGTTCTTGCAAATTTCAGCCCCTTTATAGATCTTTTATTTCAAAAATGTTATCATCTATCTGTTTTTTTTTTTTTTTTTTTATCTGGTGGTTTGAGTGTAATTAGAATATTAGAAACCTTTAAAATCCGTGCATGTTAAAGGAGCAATGCCTCTATTTTTCTCGTGAAACTGAACCATGGTTGATGTGGTTTTCTTTGTTTTTTTTTCTGTTCTGCTTGAAGGTGTCATTTGAGCGTGTGAATAAGGCAGAAGATGGAAGCGAGACTGTCAAACACATCAAACGTATGTTGTACCACAGAATGAACGCGCTGCCGCAGAAAAAAGTGATGACGTTTAACAGACATACGGACGATTTCTACTTCCACGCAAGCTACACTGATCTGGATTTCTTGAGTGAAGACGAACAGAGGTGATCATTTTTCTGTTTCTGTTTAGGGTTTCATTTTTTTGTTTCGTTTTTCGTTCTAGTCTTTTTGTAACAAAACGGAATCAATACCGCCGGAAGATCTTCCCAAAGAACCACAGTGGCAGGTCGTTTTGACAGCCCTTAAGCTATTACTTGTCCCAAAGATGAAAGAGAGATTTAGCAGGTGCGTTTACGTGAAACGTTAACTTCAAGGATGACCATCTGACAAACGTGAAAAAATAGCGGGAAAAAGAAGGTCACGTGGTCACTCTTGCCGTTCGTGTTTCACGTAAACGCGGTGCTAAATCTCTATAATGAAGGTAAAAAAAAAAAGGGGGGGGAGTGCTGCCGGAGCTTATTTCGATTTCCATAGCGTGAAGCGACCAGCAGGATTATAACTACTCCTCCCTGGATGGGATGCCAGCCTGTCGCAGGGTTTACCCCCCAGCGTTTGATCAGACTCCCTGATAATTCGTCATTACCGATTTATACCCTTGGGTGGAGTGAAGTGCTGTGAATGTAAAGCCGCGTTTTAAGTCATTGTAGACGGTATGCGTTTTGCCACCGTTTGGTAGAATTTTCATTAGCTATGTGGATACGATCGATTTCCAAGTGTTGCAGCTCATAGCGGAGTTTTGTTTATGTTATAGCATGCTTGGGTCATTGAATTTGACCACAGTGAACGTCAAGGGCGTGGCCGCTGCGTTAGATAAGCATACACCGAAAGGAGAATCTAAAGGGGTCAAGGCGTACTTTAGGATGGACGAAAGTGGAATTCTAAACCTGGAGAAGGTGTGTAAAGGATGATTTGGTTTATCAACTGAGTTTTTTATGTAAATTAGTTGTCATAGAGAGGTTTTTAAAGTTAGCCCTTTGTCCTAGCGATGTTGGTTCCTACGCAAGTAAAGTCACAAACCTAGACTTTTTTAACTAAATTTTGTTGAAATATAAGAAAAGCCTCAGGTGCAAGGTACTAGAGTACGTTGACCACGTTAGTTACATTTATATCGTAATCATAAGTAGATCATATTACTTTATATTGATTGATCCCGAGAGTCAGTTGTGTCGCTCTGTCAGTCAGTCCAGTAGAGTCATGACTCCGAAATTTTCACAATTTAGCTGCAGCATTAAAAGCTACTAAACGGCAGTCAGTTCAACTCAAGTCTTCAATACTTCTTTATTTTATCACAGGTGGAGTCTGTGTTTGAAAAGCCTGAGGAGAAGTCGGAAGAAGAACAGTCGACGTTTGCAAGTATGCTGTTTTAACATTTCTCTTAACAGCAGCTTTGTTTCATTCGCTCTTGGTTATTTCGCGTAGGGTTAGGCTGAACACCTCGAGTGGATACACCAGTACGAGGCTTTAAAGCGTACAGAAAACGAGAAGCGAAATGTGCGGCTGTTGAGATCCTAAGAGGGGACCGCTTAGTTGGTTTTTTTCTTTTTCTTGACAAAAACGTAGAAAGATACTTAGGCATTTTCTATATTCGTGTGTTGGAATTATCGCTTTTTATTTCGATAGAAATAGGAAGTAAGATTTCAAGCTTCTTTGGCAGCTCAAAGGAAGAGGAAAATAAGGAGAGTAAAGTTGAGGTAAGGGAGCTGGTGTTCAAAGTATCGATTTTCTCAATTGACTCATGAAATTCTCCGAACTTTGATGTAAAAATGTGGCATAACTTTGGTTTACTGGACGATATTTGTACCCTCAGCTGCGTGGATTTTTTTATTGCCATGACATGCTTACTCAGAATTGTCCAAACACTCTAGGAGAATTGACTTTTTGACCAAACTTGGCAGAGCAATTTAGTTATTGGCATCTCGACGCTGTTGCTCTGGTAAATTTTGTTCACGTTCCTATTAAGTGGACACGGGAGGGGTGGAGGGAAATCGAGAGCAACTCGTGCGTTCGTTATTGGGTGTTCTGGATCAGTGTTTCATCGATGGGAAGTTTGTAATAAGTGTAATTTCATTTTTTCCAGTTATTTTTTTCGTTACCTTTTTAAGGAAGGAGATAAATCCGAGGGAGTAGAAGGCGAGAAGACCGAAAAAGACAAAACTGGAGAAGAGGCGAAAGCGAAAGAAGATGAAAAATCTGAAGAAAAACCTGCAGAAAAAGACGATGACAAAAAACAGGAGGAGGTAAAGAATGAGGATAAACAGGATGAACAAGGTAAAGAAGATGAAAAAAAAAAGAGTGATGAAAAGAAAGAAAGAGAGGAAAAGGAAGAAAAGAACGAGGAGAAGAAAGAAGAATCGTCTGAAGAGAAAAAAGATGGCGACAAACAGGTAAGTTTAAACTTTCTCTTTTTAAATTTGAAACTACCATGAGGGTGTGTGCGCGAAAGACGAAAATAACACAAAAGAAACCATTGAAAATTTATTAGGCCAAAAGAATCTGAAGCGCTTTAAAGGTTTGTTCAATAAGCAAGGCCTAAGAAACGCGGGGGAAAAAAATCAAAATTTGGATCGTTTGGTGCGGCCAATTTCCTCTTTATGGTACAATGGCGTAATTCCCCATTTCAAAAACGAGTGGGGGAGTGGGTCGAGTACGCCGCGCAAGTTTGTCTGGGATAGTTACTCGGGACACAACTCTACAGTAAACAAAGATTTGTGTCCCGCGTAACGATCCCAGACAAACTTGCGCGGCGAACTCGACCCACTCCCCCACTCGTTTTTGAAATAGGGAATCGTGAAGCAACACTGACAGCAGTCTTTTTCGTGACTGCACCCTCTCCTGGACTTTCAGACATCGCAATCGACTGCTACTATCGGTTTTAAACCATTTTCCGTTCTTGATCGTTTGTAACAGGAGGAGAAGGCTGGAAACAAAACTGAGGAAGTGAAGAACGAAACAACGGACGCGAATAAGCCCAGTAAACCTGTGACTGTCCGTGAACCTCTTGAGATGGCGTTACAATGGGTGGACGTCAGTGACTCGAGCGATGACGCTATATCTGCCTCTGTGAAAAAGTAATGTGACGAATTGTGATGTAACGCAATCCTTAGCATTTTGAGTCCATGTCATGAACTTTCGCTCTTTACCACCTTCATCCTGCATAAGAAATCTATCCCACGCAATTTTAGGGAATAGCACTTTGCAAATGTCATTTCTTTTAGAGAGCCTGGCAAGGTTATATCATGCAGACGGCTGTTGGCGTTAGTTATGTCACGCAATTTTTGGGCACTTGTAGGAACGTGACTGCCTCCATGCCAGTATGTAATATCGAAGATTAGAGGTAACATCTGATGACTGATGGGTAACATTTTGGTTAATGAAACAAACTGTGACAAGAGAATGTCTTCCCCGTAGAAAGGTTTTAATTTTCCGATGAAATATTTTGCACTGGGCTCTGTTTTGAAAGTTGGGGTTTTTGAACTTGGAAATAACTTTTTTGCAACGGAATTTCCTTTGTTTTGACAGACTCAAAGACCTGCAGGCGAAGGACGAAGCAAAAGCCGCCAATGAACGAGCGAAGAACTTGTTGGAGACACACATCTACGGCATGAGAGAAGAACTGTTTACTGATACGGGAGTATTATTGTCTACTGAGGAGGAGAGAGAAAAGATCGACCAGGCCCTCAGTGAGGCCTCCGAATGGCTGGACGACGAGGGCTGGGACTTAACTGCCGACGTAAGCAAACTTCAACAGTGTTGGCATTAGTCTGGCACTAAACTTCAACAGTGCTGGCATAGTCTGGCACTAGTAGCATTATTAGTGCCAGACTCCGGCAAACCTCACCCCGACTCGTTTACAATCTTCCCGCGGCAGCACAGGCTATATTTATTCAAAAGTTTGTTCCTGCGTTTGTTTTGTGGATTGTGGTTTGTGGTACAGAGACAATGCCTTCTCGCTGTTTAATTCGTCTGTTCTCGTAACCTTTTCGTTAGATATGCTTGTAATCAGGAAGCAAAATAATTATGAGAAGGAACATTTGGCTCTCAAAGGTTAAAAACCGTCATTTATTCCTTCCATGCCCAATAGGTCGAACTTTTTATAGGCAGTCATTCTATTTACATGAAATTGTTGTTTTATGAGTGTAAATGTGACTTAAAATTTTTGTAAATTTCATGCAATTCAGTTTAGGAGGCTGCGAATTTGAATATTCTAACAAACTATCTATCAATCCATCTCATGTTGTTTCATCAGGTGTACGAGGCCAAACTGCAAAAACTAAAAGATCAATCGTACGAGTTTAGAATTCGCCTAAAAGAGCACAAGGAAAGACCCAAAGCCTTAGAGATGTTGAAGAACAGCTTAAACCTGTCCAGAACTTTCCTGGTCCAGATAGACAATATCCCAGATAAAGATGAGATTTACACTGCTAAGGATTTGGAGGAACTCAGCAAATTGATCAATGATACAACGGTAAGGTGCACTTTCGAATCAGCGGGCGCTTCAGGAATGAAGCACTATTGTATGTTGAAAACTTTGTAGGTGTGTATAGCAACTCCTTACTAACTAACCAAGCGCGAAGGCGTTACCGGGGAATATTGGCCCGAGGTTGCGCTCGGTCCATTCTACCATGACCTCGGGAAAATATCCCTAAGTACGGCCCTCGCTGTTAGTGAGTAGTTTATTATTAGACTTATTTATTTTGAATTTTCTGGCTTTCGCAAAAACACGGCTTATGGGCGTTTCCGTGGACACGGTCCGTGTGACAAAGTATGGACTAAGTAAGTACCAATCAGAACTGTCGGATTTACATCGGGACTACCTCACCATATAATAAATGACATTAAGGTCCCACGATTTTTAATTATTTACTATCCTTGTCAATTTTCCTCCTTTCAAATGTCCCCAGCTGCACCGCAGTCTCTTTCCCTGTCCTGCGTGCATGATAAGAAAAAATTATCCGGTGACCCCTATTTGAACTCATTCTTCTTTCTTAATTTCATTAGGAATGGATTCAAAAGAACGAACAGAAACAAAAGGAGACAAAACCCAGCGACAAGCCTGTCTTGTTAGTAAAGGACATCGAAACTAAGCATGGCAAAGTGGACCGTGAGTTGGTTTATCTTTTAAACAAGGCCAAGTATTACGTGCCCAAGCCAAAAGTCAACGAAACAGGTATGAATCACGTGGTATTTCCTTAGTTCCACGTGACAAACATGTGATTTTCACGTGCTAAATAAACTAACTTAAATTAGAACTGTTAAAGTGCCCATGTCACAAAATTTTTTATTCTGTTATTCAAAAGTCCACATTAAAAAAGGAACTTCCGCGAAAAAAAAAATCTCGATTTGAACAAAATGCGAATTTTTTATGATTTTTTTAATCCTATTTTTGTTTGGTACACCCCTTCCGCTGATCGAGAAAGTATGGGCTCATAAATGACGTAGATTCAGCAACGCTTGTTATCGTGGCTCCTGTGTTTACTGCAAACGAATGAGGCTACCCATGAAAATTGCTATCATCGTATACGAACCGACCAAATAATGTCCTCCATGGAGAGTGCTTGGTCAAATCTCCCTTAAGTTTATTAGCAAGTGATGTCACGTGATCCTTAACCTACGTCACAATTCCTTGGTGACCGCGAGAAGTGGTGTGCCAAAAGGGCGGTCAATTTCAGCGTTTTTAAAAAAATCATAAAAAATTCGCGTTTTCAAATCGAAAACTTTTTTCGCGGAAGTTCCTTTTTAATGTGGACTTTTGAATGACAGAATAAAAAATTTGGTGACATGGGCACTTTAAGAATTGAAAATTTAATTTTTTTTTTCCATGCTTCTCAACTGAACTATTTAAAGTTTTATTCATGTATATATTTAATTTATCTGGTCGAGATCATTGTTGTATTTTCACAGATGGAAGAACACACGATTTAGTTTTCCTCGTTAAATAGTAGCTTAGGGAAGGGCCAGGGAATACCGTTTGCTCAGGTCGGGGGTGGAGAGGGAAAGTAGTTTAGCTGTGATGGAGAAGTATTTCTCCAAATGAGAGACGCCCTCTTAAGTCCTCAGTGTAGTGAGATAGCCGTATTTTCATTCACTTAAACAAATACTGGAATTTTTTTCTTAACTATTCAGCGTCAAACGCGACAAAACCCAAGGCGGACACTAAGAAAGAAAAGCAAGAAAAAGGCAGCAAACCTGAAGGAGCGAGTGCAGATAAAAAAGGAGATAAAAAGGAGAAAGAAGGAGAAAAATCCACCAAAGATGATGATGAAAAGAAAAAGAATGAAAATATGGGAACACAAGAAAAACCTGACGAGTCAAATAAGAAACAGGATGAACAAGATAAAAAAGACTCGGACGAGGCAGAGCCTTTGCCTCTCCCTAGCGCCGAGGCTGAGTCCTCAACAACTGGTGAGCCCGCGGAGAGCTCAAGCTCATCAGAAGGAGATAATACAGAACAGAATGCACAGTCGTCTGATAGCAGCTCTAGCAAAAAACCTGGCGACGAATTATGATAAAAAATTCTAAATGACTTAAAAACTGATAGTTTGTAAAATATTATGCAAGTCCTAATGATGTGCACGTATAACTTATTGAGAGATATAGCAACGGTGTAATCAGCTCTCCACGCTTTGATTTCTCAACCTCAGTTCTGATTTACAGACGTTTGCTGTCCGTCATGTTTTGGGATGCATGAAAAAAGAAACTTGCACTAAGATGTTTGTCAAACTTTGCCATTACATTGCTTTTCTTATAGGAACTTAAATTTTGAAATAAAACCGATTGGTTCCCACACTCGTCTAGGAGCCTTGCGTTTTCGCAATAATTTCTCGTAACGATCATTTGATTCTTTCACTCCCAAGATTTGAACAGTGATTTTTCTCTCTTTTTGTCATCCGTCATCTATTATTTTAGACCTAGGAATTTGGTGCGGGTTAATCCAACAACATCCATATAGTTGATAATGTTTCCACTTCTCCTTACCTCTCTGCTTGAAAATATATGGATGTTGTGAGGAGAAATACTTGTTTGGTTACTTCTAGGAGTGAAAGGGTCAATAATGTACGAGACTACTGCTAACTTCACGTTTTTAAAATTTTCTGTTTAATTGTGGGAATTAGTCTGCTTTCTGCACCAAGAGAAAGTTGTTGCGGGAACAAGTACGTGCGCACAAAGTTATTGCCTGCCACATTTCTAACAGCAAAAGGACGATTTACCTCGTTGGACAACGGCCTGTCCCTCCATCTGGGCATTTGGGAAAGCCGCAAACTCAAGAAAAAACATCTTTCATTCGGCACTTTTAATCCTCACGGTCTTCATTCAACCAATTTATTCTTCTTTTTGACGTTACCATGTTCCCATTGATAACGTAGCTCCTTATTCTGCACATAAAACACACGCACTACTCATAATTCCTCTTTTCGCTCTGACGAAGGGCCCGAGCTCGAAACGTCGGCTTTAGAAACTCGTACTGGTAACCAATTTATATTATCTATTTAGCTGATAAGACCAAATTATAATGCTAAGTAGCGACCAGTCCCCGGCTCGAGAGATGTTTCTTGGGAAGTCCTTACCCTTAGAAGCCACCGATCTTTTCCACCGCAACTTGCGCAAAGTTCCAAACTTGTATTGATGCAAGTACGTCACGCTTTAGTAAAGGATTCATCTGCAGCGGTAAACGAAGTTTACGAGTCAAAAGAACCGTTCTTTTTTGGCTCCTTCCGATTTCAAAAGTGTTATTCAACTAAGAGTACCTTAATCTCGTGCCCAGACCATCCACGCCGTTTAATGGGAGGATCTGGGTACGAGACAAATACTCCCCTTGGGATAAGTTGCTTGTTCATTGTAGGTTTTTTCTCTCAGAATTTTGTCAGGCTTACCTGAAAGTTTGTTCCCACCTATCATTTATACTCCTGGAAAGAAAGAGGCACTGTGAGAAAAGAGCAATTTTCACTTGACTGTCGAAAATGGATTGCATTGCTTTGCTTTTCTTTGCTCTGTTTTCGTGCGAATCTCTCAACCAATCAAATGTAAAATAATCGCGACTTGGTATCCCGTGCTTTGGGGGGTTTGCTTGTTTTTACTTTTTGTTTGCTAATTTATAAATTCGTTGCAAAACATTACCAAGAAGAAATTTACAAATAATCAATAATTGCAAAGCAGTGCTGGTGAAGTTTCGTTTCATCTGAAAGAAATTACGTTCCAGTTTGCGTAACTTCAAGAGTTAAGCTTGAAATTTTTGAAGTTTTTTCATCCTTTTCCATCCTTGATCGGTCTTTGTTTTCCATTATCTTTTGAAATATTTCTCTGTCTTTTCAAGATCATAGCTTGTGGTTTTTTTTTTTTCAAAGCAAAGAAAACACCAAAAAAGAAAGTAAAAAAAAAACAGAAAATGGTGATAATGATCAAGAGAAAAGAAATGTCTTACTACTTATTCTCACCCCAATCTATCAACATCTTTTTTATTTAGTTTTTTTCTTTCAGAGGTGAAAGAAATCGAAAAGAAAACAACTCTCAGGAAGTTTTGAAAATAATAGAAGAAGGAAATCTATTTTAGCCACTTCCCCCTCCCCCCTTAGTAGAAATTAACACTCTTACTGACCTCTCCCTCCTTGGAAAAAATTGTCCGATGCGCCAATAGAAAACGATGAACTGAAGATCCTTTGAGAGCTTCGAAGGAAGAATTTACATTTCAATCAGTGCGTGTGTCTATAAACTTCTTCTATCTATCACTGAATCGTGGTTAATTTGTTATTTTCAACTCTTTTGTTCGTGTAATTATTTTTTGTACTTTTAGTTTACAGATACCAGTTAAAAACGTTTTTTCGCCGGTTTTCCCCCTTACAATCAGGTTTTCTCTCAGATCAGATATTTAATTTCTCCTTAAGCCCAAATTTTTATTTTCTTTCTTCGGCGAGGGTTCATGGCATATCAGAAAGTATGGATTTGAACCGTATTAATTTTGAATTGTCAGTATGGCAAGTGTCGAGAGTTCTTCAACTTTAGAGACGACAACTGAGATCCCCAAGAACTCGAATGACAATCGTGAAGCTTCTGTTGGAGTCAACAACATTCAAAATGGCAGCCATGTTGTTTCTTCAGTAACCACAACTCCATCTCAGCAAAATCCTATTACGCTTCTTGTTCCCACCGCGCCGGCCACGCAAGCTGGTAAGCGAGTGATCTATCCTTAATCAATGCAAATACCGTCAGAAGTCATGATTATTTTACCTAGAAAGGCGCTATTTTACTCGATTTTTAAGTAGGTAAGCGTTGATTTGCTTTGCGACGAATCTTAGTTATCGATGCAAAGTGAAGGAAAACAGCTGACTTTGACGCGAAATCTTCAGATAATAATGACGCTATATTTGGTCAGGAAATAGATTTTTTTCCTATTCTTTAGGTAACCTATAGTGTTAAACAAGCAGATGTTATCAATAATTTGGCTACCAAAATAGACTTTTGTACGGTACTAGTGTTTTCTAAAGTGTCTTTCAATTCAATTTATTATTTTCACATTTGAAATCCACCGTAGATTTGAGCATATTTTCAAGATTTCTAGGAGTTACTGTAGAGAGTTTTATACTCTGATTTCACTGGATCCATAAAATCAAAATACTTTTCCACTGATCCTTTGCAGATATTGAATTGACCTAAAAATATTATTATGAGTAACAATTTAAAATTCTTGTTGGTTGAAGTGATGTTGATTTGGATCATGTACATGTGGCTCAAAAGGGCTAAAGAAGGAAATGCTGTTTCATTCTCCTAGAAATTGATTAAATAATTTTAAATGTTAGCAAAATTATGACAAAAAATTGTAGTATAATATTTATTATTACACGACTCGGGCAGTCAGAGGGCCAATAACTAAAATCAACCAATCAAAATGATCTATTGCTGGTCAATATTCTCTCAGTATTGGACCGGGCACTGTCCCAAATGGTCCCAAATGATACCTCACTTGTGTCCCTTTGAACTTCAGTCGTATAATAAATCTCTTATTAATCAAGCTTGCTTGGGACCATACCAGAAGTATATCGGCCCTCGGTCTTTTTTGTACGGACCTTGCTGCGCTCGCTCCGTACTGTCAAGACCTCGGGCCGATATTCTCCCAGTATGGCCCTCGCGCTTGGTTAATAAGATATATTTACTACTATGATGTGTATTAGAGGGCTAGTTTTAAATATAAACAATGTCTCTCATTATGTGAATTATTTGTTCATGCACAGCTCTTTACTGAAAATTAGTCACACACTTTGAGTTTACAGTGGTCTATGCCTGCTTCCATTATCAGGGATAGAAAATATGAATGTGAATTATTTTCTGTCCATGGATCTGTTGCCACAGAAATTGTGATCTTTTGGACATCTTGCATTGATTTCCAAATGAAATTTCCTTTTTTATCAGAAGGCCTTTTTATTTCTGTATTTTTATTGTACTCAGTAGGCTGAAAGTTAGGACTGTATTATTGCATACTAAACTGAAAATTGTTCCTCTTTGTAGTGACCACAGCAAATGGCATGGTTCAAAAAAACCTTGCTGTTCTACAGAACACGACAAAGCCTATACCTGCCAGTGTATTCTCGTACAGATTTGCTTCTCCGACAAGTAACCAGACTCCTTACTATGTGTCATCAGATATAGTGCTGAGGTATACCTTTACCTTTTGTAGCAATATTTTATCTACAGTAAACCATATATTTAGTACCCTACTAAAGCCTTTGTGGAGCAACATGACGGAAAGGATACTTCTAATGAGCCTAGTTGCCCTATTCTATTAGCTTTTTCCAGTTTCCTTTTGTATCAAGTGACTGGTAGTAGTACAAATCTTTCCAAAACAAAAAATTGTCTAGTGTGGGTTACACTGCCTACGATCTAGCAAGTTTCCTAGTTGGCTATTACACTATTTACACTCCAGGAGCCTGTTTCTCGAAAGTCCTGGTAACTTATTTGGGCCTGAAGCCATGTCTTAAAATCAAAATCTAAAGGATAGAAAAGCAGGTTCTGGCACCCAAACCTGCCCATTTTGTTTCATTAGCTGTTAGCTAGTGTTCAAAATTTTACCAACTGTTTTTATTTTGAATCATTTTTATGTAGCGGGGGCATTGCTCAACAGACCAGGAGAAGTATTGTGCATAATGAAGGTAAAATTCTGTTTAACCTCTCTGAAGCAATGCACTGTAGACATATAAGCCATTCTTTCCGATTTATTTTTTAACATATCTTTATTAGCAAGTCTAACACATCAAAATGTTGTACATGGACTCACCGAAAACAAATTTGTAATGAGAAATTGATGCTCCATAATACTCCATTCTGCATTCATTCAAGCCATTTTACTGAATCCTTTTTGGTGCTGCTTGAGTTTTACTTTCACTATGAAAGACCCACTTTTGTTGTTCTGTGCACTTTTCTTGTGTATTTTGATAACCTGACCCCTTAACGCCCAGAAGTGATTAACAGGTAACTTCTCCCTATACCTTCCATATAGTATCTCGCAAACAGGTCATGAGAATACTGAAACTTGTCAGGTAGAAGTTGATAATCAGTTTATGAGGAAATGCACAAAAATTAGAAGAGAGAATTAACAACCAGATAATTAGAGTTAAAGGGTTAAGTTTTGAACAAAAAAATTATTTTCAGTGGAACGCAGGCGGAAAGGCAAAATAAATAACTGGATACTAAGGCTAGCAAGTGTTGTACCACAGTGCAGCTGGGGAAAACAGGTATGAAAAGAATCTAAAAAAGTTAACAAACTTTTTTCCTGTCTTAGTGTCTACCTGCGTATGCGCAGTAGACACAATAAATTGATTTGGAGGTGGCCACCAGGTCAAGTATGTTACACAGATTTTTTGGAGAAAATTACAATCCATATGAGTTTTATTATGGGCTGGGCTGCAGGCAAGTTGAGCAGCTGTGAGGATGACTTTGTCTGGCTGCTTTCAAAATCTTAACCAAAGAATTTAGTATGGGTTAGTATGCCATGTGTCTTGCAAAAAATACAATAGATTTTAAATAGTAGAATAGAATTTGTGGCAATTTAATGAATAAAATATTGTGAATTTGCATTGGAGGATTTAAATTTATTTGTTTATTGAGGTATCAAATAATGTTTGAGCTATCTGAAGAAATACTAGCTCATTGGAAACCAAAGCATGTTTTGCTACTAATACTAATGCCCCCTTCCCCCTCAAAGACAAGAATGCTACACCTACCTAACTAGTACAATACCAGAGAAAATTTTGGGACAGAGGGGGAAAGTCAGTGCGTTGGCTGAAATATGTAATTTTTACCTATGTTACTTTTAGCGTGGGCTGGAAAGCACTGTGGATTTGTTATGTAGTTTCTTATTCCTGAAGTCAGTTTATTATTTTGAAAGGACCAACACATCAGTCCGATAGTTCTCTCTTGACAATACCCATTTCCACTGTGTCATTAATATAACAATCCCTACCATTCTTTTGAGGTTGAAAAAATGCTTATAATTTCACTTTGTATCGATTTCTTTAAATTGATTGGCTTTCTTTTTAACAGAGTAAGAACATTGTTCTCGAAAAGACAGTTGACTACATCAATGATGTCAAAACCCAACTAATGGAATTAAATGATTTGCAACAAAGGGAGCAAAAACTTGGTAAGGACACATCATTCTTCCCGTTTCGGGAACTTTTGGGAAGTTACTCTAAACTGTTTTACCAGAACTTTCTAATAGACTGTTATATCTGGAAAAAAAAGAAAAGAAAGAAAGAAAAACAGTATACGTCTCCTTTCCTTCATACACTTATTTCATGTTTAGCTTGTTTCTTTTCGATTCAACGTTTTAAACCCAAAACGGGCCAATCAGAGCAAAGGAAGTATTGCAAGGGGCCAATCATAACTCGAGTGAAAACGAACACCCTGCTCGAAACGCGGGAAAACGCAATACACCAGGTTGCAGTTGTTTGCATCTGATTGGTTGAGAGGATCGTGCAATTTTTCCAGACCAATCATAGCGCAACATCATGCAAAACCAATGTAACCCAGAATATTGTGGACACTACATTGAAATTTTCTCAACTATTTGATTTATCAAAAACTTCCTTGTGAGATCTATGGTTTGTAGAAGACCTAGTGGCTTGGTTGTTAGCGCGCTGAACTCCGGGTTCAAGCACCTGTCCATGTTTTTGTTTTATGTTCTGGGGCAAGGCTCTCTACTCCTACAGTACCCCTCTCTCTCCATGCAGGAGTATTGCAAACTGTAAGGGATACGTGACAATCTGCGAGGGGAGGGGAGGGGTAGGTAGGTAACCTGCGAATTCCCAGCGCTCCCTCAAGGAAAAATGGTTGCAAAATTTCTTGTCGCTTCGTGGTACAGTTTTGTATGCAGACAAGGCCATACGTATATTTACTTCTTACAACAGGAATAAATGAATTCCTCGAACTTACATGTTTTCTGCTCCTTTTAATGAAATTCAGCGCAAGAAAATGAACTACTGAAAACCAGACTTGGAACGGTGACTGAAGAAAACAAGCAGCTAAGAGGTTTGTTAAAGAAGAACGATATAGCAATTCCCGGGAATTTTCCATCGACATCAAACGCTTTATCAACCTCAGAAGCATTCACATCATGTAAAGCTGGTACCCCAGTGACTGTGACCTCAGAGGCTCCAAAAGTAGCGGAAGTGTCGACTATGGCTGCGTCCAACTCATTACATGCATCAAGTCAGACGGTGACTAACTATGTAGTTCCCCCTTTTACCACGGCTACCACAGCTGTCATGAACCAGCTTCCCACAACCTCAGTTGCTCTCTCATGTCCACTAAGGGAGCAATCGAGGAGAGAATCGGTGGCGTGTTTAGCCCCGTTTACCATAGCAACCAACCCAATTTCTCTCACGACGACTACCACGTCTGTCGTTTCCCCAATTTCGTCAACCTCTGTTGTACAAGCCCTACCAACGTCTGTAAATGGGCAGAATAGTGGACACAACCTTTATCAGCCTCTGATAGGCCAAGGTACAACGTCAAGTGTTGTCCAGCATAGTCCAAGCATTCCCACCCAACCTGGGCTGAATCAGATACAAGGAAATCTAAGTAGTTTACCGAATCCAAATCCCATTTCAAATGACCCAGTTACGCAATTTGCTACCAACTTAGGTTATCCTTTGACTCAGCAAGCTTTGCAAACTGTAAGCACTTCCTCACAAGTTTTGCAACCCCAAGCTGGATACTCCCAGCACAGCGTAGCCGCCATCATGAAAGTTGCCCTTCAGCCGGGGACATCTGTTTCTCCCATTAGTGTAGTAAACGCTGTTCCTCTCGGTACTACAGCCTCGGGACAAAACACTAGTGCCATCTTAAATCTTCAACCGGCTGTTATCAACTCGACCACTGCTGTTCCAAGCACGATTGTGGTGCCTTCGTCGGTACCCATGGCTCTTCCAGTGTCCAGTAACCTTGTAACTGCACACACTGGAATTGTCAATAATGTTGAGTCACAGACAAGCAGCTTACCAACATTTTATGTCACTGCTGCTCCGAGCCAGTCTGCAGCTGTCGCAAAAGTGAACAGTTTAGGGAATGTGTCACGACTCAAAACGTCAAGTGATACAAGTAAGGGACAAACAGGGAATAAAACAAAAAAATCTGGGCCTGCGAACAAGAATTCCAAAAAATCTACCACGTCTGGTCGGACTCAAAATGCGACGAGGAATTCTCAAAGCAAAGCCCCGTCTAGTGGCAGCAAAACTGGCCCGTTTACAAATAAACGGGGAACAAGACACTTGACTGATTCAAATGAGGTGCCATTGGCAAAGAGAAACAACACTTGCGGATCTCAAGAGTCTCAGGGAAATATGAGTATTTGTCAACCCCAACAGGAAATTATGACTATACACACTTTCAACGTGAATGCTTTGATACCAGGAATTGCCTCACAAGCATCCAGTCCGACAAGCACTATTGCCACGGTTGTACTTAATAGGACAGATTGCGGTGGAATCGGTAAAACTACCAATCAGGTCTCTAATTTGGGTATGAGTCAGAGTGCTCAGGTACCTCGTTTGTCACATAGCATTGCTTCTTTAGCAGGCTTACCCCGGAGTATGGGGCTTTCACAGTCCTCTTCAGATCTTCAACAACATCAACAAGTTTCCCAGCTTGGGTCTGCTGGCAGCCTAAGCTTCTCAGCAGAGTCGCTACTTGCTTCAAGCGAAGTCGTCTTGCCAAACATTCCTCACATAACAACCACTTCTGTCAATTCTGAGAACAACCCAAGCCAGCCTAGTAGTTTGAATATGGCTATGGCATCATCGATGCACAGTACACCCAATGATCAAACCCACAGCCAAGGGTTTTCAAATTACTCCGCAGAGACGCTTATTGGCGGGAATGAACTTATGAGTGACTCGGTCATGTCACAGGAATCCCAACTTCAGACGCGACCGTCCAGGACAACCTATTCAGACTTCTCCGCCGAATCTTTGATCGGCTCCAGCGATTTAAACTCAGGTCTGTCGTACGCAATAGACAATCTCATCTCTTCGCGCTCGGATGCGAATTACAACAGCACCACAATGGTGTCTGTAAATCCAAACTTGCTTCATTCTGTGAAGGCGAATGTGGGCCAAGAAACCGGAGCGAATCATTTGCGTACGATGGCGAACATGGCGGATCTTGGCGAACAGAAGACAACATTGTGTAGTAGTCAACCGACGGTAATGTTCAACAATCCGATGTCAAACAGCAGTTACGGAATGGCGCCGACAAATTCTACACCTCAGTTTACATATGTACATAATAGTTCCCAGAGAAGACTTACAGACACTGTAACGCCACAACATCAAACTGTCAATGCAACAAATAATGTCTCCGTCGCGTCATCCACCAGCTTTTTAAAACATTCTGTCGACAGTATCACATCTTCATTATATGCGGTTAGTAACGCGGGCTCAAGTTTCTCCTTGGGGTCAAATTCGGTTTCTGGAAACTCTTTCTTAGGACCCGCCTCGTTCGGAGTGGATTCTCTCACAGGAAATCAGCTTTCTTTTGGTTCGTTACCAAACCCTTTTTCACCGACCCGACCTTTCTTCAACCATAGCTCTACTATGGGAAGTTTCGTGTGACTCCTTGTGTTTTTCGTTTTGACTTCTTAAAAGGCGGACCATGCCCTATTGGCTCGCACTGCAGTACCTTGTGACATGGCAACTCAATCACATGTCATAGATAACTGAAGAGATTGTGACAATTCAGGTATTTGCATTTGAATTGTCACGCTGGAGCTACCAAGCCCTGCGTGACATGTAGATTCTGCGTTTCAGAAACAAGGTAACAAGGTTATCGTGAAAATGACCGGAATTTCTTAGTCCTAACTAAGACTATTTCCTGCTGATAAAGTATTTATTTGCTCAGACTCCCAAATGTTTGCTTGGAATGGCTATTTCCGTGATCTCTTTACTGCTATATTTTCCAAAGAATGCAATTATCATTTTGAAAGCGTCTCATGATAACAGAGATCGGAAATACTATTCCGTGGTTCATTGACTGAAATCTTAGAAACTAGTTTTCTTGTAAAGCAAAAGGGCATTTTTAACTAGCAAATTTCACATTATTTAAACCCGGTGTCAACGGATGGATTTCAGCCTCTATGAAATACCTAATATGAATCTCTTTTATAGAGTCCTTTTCAATTAAGTGTCCCCAAACCAAAACCAAAAACAATCTCAACAAGCAAACATAGAAAGGAAAATATGACGGGGAACCAATGAGAACTCGAAGTAAAAACAAACAAACTGCCTGAAGCGCGGGAAAACGCGTCTGACCACAAGTCGTGATTGGTTATAGTTTTGAATCTTATTGGTCGAGAAAGTGGCACGAAGCTTTTTTAGACCAATCATATAACGAAGTAAAGTAAAGCCAAAGAAATTCCCGGATTATTTTCGACGCTTAATTGAAAATTGTTCTAAATGCTGTTTCTGTGTATTAGGGTAATGTACCATTGTAAGTAGTGGAAATTCTACTCGATCTTTGATCAGTTGACTATTTTCAAAGCTTCAAGGTTATAGATTTTACTTAAAAGTAACTCTGTGCACCTGTTTAAAGTCAATTTTTAGTGGGTAAAGCTGGTTAAAATTCTTGTAGTTATAAATTATTCTGGTGCTTCAAGTCTCAAACGAATGAATAAAACGCGGAGCATATTTTGTAAAATTGCGTGGTTTCCCTTTTAATCTCAACCCTCGGAGGAGATGAAACTTCGGAGGAAAGATGGTGTGTATGTACTTATCGACTAAATGGGAGGACAAAACTGGAAATTATTGGCCTGAGGGACTCAAACGGAGATTTTTTAAATAGTGCTTTTATGCAAGAGTGTGTGGCGCTGCATCGCATTCGATGGGCTCGCTCGGATAAATTTTAAAACGCAACTTTATTGTTGAGATTAGATGTTCTGTTAACACTAATTTGCATAGGTTGTCCAGTGAAAACGGGACGTTCTGGAACCGCTTTTTAAAAGTGGTTTAAGCTAAAACGCCGAATTTGCGAGGAATATTGGTCGGAAAACATTTCGAACTTTTTGAAAATGCTGACGTCGTCACGTAGCTAGCAGGGCCCTTAAGCAAACCACGACGGCGACGGCAACGAGGACATGAAAAACAAACGATCTAATTGGCAGAACAATAGCCAAGCACATGCATTTTAAAACTTAGTACATCTCTTGGCCGTCCTTGCAAAACAACGTGAAATCCCCAAAATTTGCGTCGTCTGCGAACCGAAACCGCGACGGCAAATTATTTTAATTTTCATTTGGAACTCGACGCTACTTTTATACGTTATGTTGAGGMTAATTTGTGGCGCCGTATGAGATGGTAAACGCATGCAGCCATTTTCGAAATTCTGATTAAAAGTAGAAATTCATTTTTTAATCGACGTTTTCCTTGGTGTTGCCGTTCTGACTGCTGAAGGTCCCTACTTACGCCTCGAGAGTGATAAATCTTAGTTCTGGCTTGACATCCCTAAGCTCAAGGGTGCATCTAACTGACTCTGCCATCGATCTTTCTCGTGTTTTGAACGGAAAACATTGATTCGTTTTCTGGTGTGGAAGGAAACCTTTTATGATGTTTCAATACGGAAATCGTTCTCTTCAAATTCACCTGGCATAAATTGGAATTAAGCTAATACTCGAGCTTTATTTTGTAGCAAATGAACGGAAGCGGCTACAATATCGCTTCCATACTAATTCTTCATTATTTATTAATTATAAAGATAGAATCTAGCGTTGCTACGGTTATCAAAACAAAAACAAAGAAGCCTTGTTTTCTTCATCCAAGACAAGTGTATCTTAAAATGATTAAAGGTGCTGAGTCGAGAGGGTCTTAATGGGGTTAACCGATAGGCGTAAAATGGCCAAAAATTTAGTCGATAGCCGTAAAAATTGAAAAATTTTAACCGTTAGCCGTAAATG